TTTTTAACAGAGTCCTGTGAAGATAAATCAGATTAGCCTGGATGAAAGTGGAGAACACATGGGCGTGTGTTCAGAGGATGGCAAGGTAGGGGGGTGACGTGGTCCCATCTGCTCCAGCCCCGAGGACTGTGATGGTACCCAACTCCGGATGCTCAAAACAGCGCTCTGCTGACTGCATACCTACAATAGGAGAACCTGATTACTTTTTTTGAGTGTCGGGCTTGCTTCCGATTGCACATAATTAAAGTAAAATACATTTTGCCCAAATGTGCCTTAGGAAAAGTAATTACAAGAATGTCAATAACATAACTAGTATTAAGCTGATTAACAGCTGTGGCAGGGGAACGTGTCACCTTAATCATTACTGCCTTGCCACTTACACTTCAGCGACTGGTCTACAGTTCGTGCAAGACAGTGGTTTCCTGCCTTTCTGCCATAAATCCACAAAATTGGATTTTGTGGGCATGATTTCTGTGGGCCGGTGGTTTTCATTTTCACACACAAGTTATGAATGTTTCTCTTGAATTATAGAATCTTTTGATAAGCGATCATAGTTTATCAGAAGAATAAAGTGTCTTACAGTGGCCACATTAAATAAATGTAAAATCAATATATGTACAGTTTTCTAAAAACCTGGCACCCACTTCCTTGACCAAGGACATACATCATTTGTGCGGTGTTTAACTAACAGTTATCACTGCTGCTTGCGCATGTTGAGCTGTGACATTTAATGGTGGTGGTGATTGATTTTCCACTTACAAGAATGTCTTTTTTGTTTTTCAGTCGATGGAAGTCTTTTCTAGTGTTGGTTTGCAATGATAAAATTCTAATGGGCAGTGTATTTAAGCTACTCTTCTAAAATAACACTTTAAGAAGAGAGTCCATTAAGAATCATTGCAAAACCTTACATATTCCTGACTGACTCAGGAGCGGTTTTCCTAATCTAATTTTGTGGGTTTTTTTTTTTAACACAATCTAAATTCAATGGGCCATTAGGATGAGTAAATTAAAAACAATGTGCTCGGTGTTAAAGATTTATACCCATTTAATCTGTTAACAAAAGAAAGCTGAAGTCCTCTTGACATATAAGAATGCATTTTTTAATATATCTAAACCTAACGTCGCCCAAAGTCTTTTGAAACAGTCGTTGGAACACTCATGCTTTTCAAAAAGCACTGTCAGATTTTACAGTACTTTCTGAAATTCTGAGATGAAACAGACTGTCAAGGAGAGATCAGGGAGGAGTTGGTATGTGCAGAAATGGAGGACTAGCCAAACTCTTCAAGCATTTTGGATTTGTAAAGAAAGACCATTTTCGGTTTTGTTTTCTGAAAGGTGAGGGGGAATTCCTTCTCGGCTAATGCCAGTTTAATTGAACTAATTCGTTGAAGGAGAATTTGGAGGGTTTTTTGTAGGGGGGCGTGTAAGGGGTAATTAGGTTTACTTATTTATTTGTTTGTTTATTTTGTTAATGGAGGAACTGGGGATTGAACCCAGGACCTTATGCATGCTAAACATGTGCTCCACCACTGAGCTGTATATATCCTCACCCCAGAATATTGTTTTTTGAACTGAAAAAGAACTTTTACTAAGATACTTCATCTAGGAATTTTCAGAGTTCCAATTTTGAAGAATTATTATTTGATGTGGCAAAGTGGGACGCTTTAAATACTATGCTTGATGGATTATGTGACGACCCTCAGGTATCTTCCTGGTACACTTCTTGGCAAACCCCTCTGTTTTCCAATTTTAGTCAGATTTTATAACTGCTGTATTTTGTTGTAGACCCACAATGCATTTAAAAAAAAAGACTTTCTTGTTTATTTTATCTGCATTGACAGAATTGAAAATAAATATTTCAGCACACATATTTATGTAATCTAGCCCTTACCATGGGCTAGTCAGTATTATGAAAACTGAGAAGCTACTATAGAATGATCTGGAAGGTGGTTAGTGAAGATAGCAGTAAGGTTATTACAAAGATTATCTCCAGATATCGACATTTAATGCATCTTTACGTGGCTGTTGTGATTTTTCTTTCTTTCGTGCATTAAGATTCCTGGATTAAATAATTATCTTCTATTTCCAAGATAAACATTAATACTTGTATTCAGTTTTAAAATCATTATTCTAACAGTTGTATATTGACTGTTCATTCAGCTGGTGCTTACTTCTAATTCTTTTTATTCTATGGCTTCCCTAAGCTTGAGTTCTGGATTTTGAAATACACACACACATATATATAGTGTGTGTGTGTGTGTGCACACATGTGTGTAGCTTACTGGTAATTTACCAGTTTACTGGTATACATTTTTAGGCAACTCTCAGGATAAGTACACGCAAGATTTATTTTCTGATCTCTTGCATATGTTGCCTCCATACAGAAACTAGGATCAATTTAGTATACAATTCTGGGGGGAAATATTTTCTCCTAAAAATTTTGGCGACCTGGTTCTCTTTTGTCCAGGCTTTATTTTTGCAGGCTTGTCAGAGGCCAGCCTACTTTAGTTCTTTCACAAAACCTTTTTATTTTTAACTTATTTATTATTTGTCCTGCCTGGGAGCTCAGACTAATACTAACAGGAGTCAGAGCAGCAGTGAGCTGCCCTTATAATTCAGTTTGCTAAGTTAACGTGTTGTTCGGGTCTGTCTTCACTCATTTTGTCCGGAACAGAGTTAAGTCCTTTAGATCCATATACTGAAGTATTGTTTTCATTTCAGGAAAGTTTCCTTCAGTCCTGATTTTGATTATTGCTTCAGTTCCACGTGTTCTCATTTCTTCCAAGAGACGCAATAATACTTGGGCTGGAGGTGGTATCTCGCAGAGGCCAAGAGCATCGCTCTGCACTGCACCTGCCCCGGTGGCTTCCCCACTGTGCTGTGTGGGGTCAGGAGTGTTAACTGATGCCCGGTGCCTCCCCAGGGGGGGCAGTGGGCCCAGGGCGGGGCCCAGATGGGCATGTGGCAGGGCCGATGCTGTGTGGGTGGGAAACTCCATTCATACTGTCTTTATTGCTAACCCTTCACATAACCCTTATAGTCTTACCTCTCCCCCCCAGCCCCTGCTCCCATATTGTTGTACGTAACCTTTTCAAGATAAGGGGTGAGTGGATAAGCCCTAGTCCCTCTTCTTCTCTTCCAAAAATATAAGAAAAATTGGTCATGTTGTGTCTCTCAGATACACACACACACACACACACACACGCTTTGCTTTTGCTGGCTTTCAACCTCTCACTTCTTCTTGTTTGGTCCTTTTGCTGATTTACTTTTCTGCCAATGTCACTGTTGCTTTCTGGGGTAGAGTTTTAGTCTGTTTTGCATTTTTAATTTTCCTAAACTTTTTCTCTTCCTGCTCTATTTTCACATAAGCCTAATGTGTGTGTGTGTGTGTGTATTTTTTTTTGAAGATTACTACTACTTCTTACATGTCTTAGAGTGCCTTAGAGGTATTGTGATTGGGAGAGGAACTACCTGCCACGTTTGAGCTGTGTGTTGTCAGCCTAGTTTTCCATCCCTCTCTGTGCCTCAAAATTTCCTCCTCTGTAAAGTGGGGATAGTAGCGGTACCTGCCTCATTCATCATTAGGAGAAATAAATTAGTTAATACATGTAAATAGTTTGGAATATTATCTGGAACAGAAGAATCCTAGTAATTGTTAACTGTTAATCATCCTCTCTATTTTAACCTTTAAATATATGATTCTTGTCTCAGATGAGATCTTCCTAAAAGCCAAAATTCTCTAGGCGATCGCTCAACGGATTCTTTTCACAGACAAGTATGATACTCACTGAGAAAATGACAAAATAAAGATGGAGAGAGAGAAAATGAATGAGAATTGTTTGGGATTGTATTAGCTTTAGTAGTCCTAAGTTGTGAGCAACTAATTTGAGTGTCATATTAGTGAAATGAAGCAAAATATCAAAGGTTTTACAACTCGCCCTGCTTGTCCTGACATAGTTTACCAGATTTGTCTTGTGAATTTCAGTGTTTTCTATTCTGAAGGAGAAAGTCAGGAGAGCTGAGGAAAATGTTGTCCCGTTGAACATAGTGATGGAGACTAACCGGAGAGTTCTCATCTTGCTCCACTGCCTTCAGCAAACACTCCTGCAGCCCCTGTTGTGGGTACAGTAGTGACAGCTTTGCTTCTGACTAGTTCTCAAGGACAGTAATGAGTATGGGCCTGTTTGTTAAGAACTACAATTTGTTCTCTTTCCAATTTACTCCTTCATGACACCCTACTCTTACGTCTTTATATGGATTCATAATTTTTAAAGGCACACGTATCCCTGGAAATTCATAATTTAATTTTCTCCATTAGATTCATAATATTTCTAATATTTATCTTACTCACTGCTCCCTCAGTCTTATTCAACAGGCTCATACTGGTTTGTTTACATCTCATGTACTTCTCCCCACAGTATCAGTCATGTCACTTTTGTTCTCAAAAATCATCTTTACCATCTCGTAGGCAGAAGGAAGTTTCTCCATTTGAATGAACAGTCTGCTCCACTGAGTTGCGACTTCTCTCATAGAGTTGCCAAATTCACAGTCAGTATTCACTTTCCTTCAGTTTGGCAAATATTTGTGGTTTTTGAATTTTTTCCTCTTCTACCTTTCTTAGCGCTTTGTATAGAAAGATACCTTTCTTATTTGCACATTTTAGGCTAGCTCATATAATGACACTGTGGAGAAGAGCAGGGCTTGGAATACTCGTCTCGATGTTTACAACCTTAGGCAGGTCATTAATTTTTCTGCAGAATCATCTGTTTAAATAAGCATAGTGGTACCTGCTCCCACACCTAGCAGTGTCGCTCTAAAGACCAAATGAGACAGAGTGAGGTTTTTCAGTGCTGGTGACGTACTGTCAATTGTGAACCTTTAGAAATACCAATTGATCATTTAATAAATTATCATTAATTTATCTAAGGTGGAGTCTGGCCATTAGTGTCCAGAGATATTAACCGTGCCATTAGGTTTGAGAACCACTGAGGTAAAGCATGTGGAAGCATTTAGAGGTACATGTTAGTAGTAGTAGTGTAGGATTTGACACAGGACCACGTTGTGACATTGTTGTAGTAAACAGAA